GGGAAAAAAAAGAAAAATTAAAAAGACTCTGGGGCTCTCAACTTCATACTCTGTGAAGCTTGCTTCTCGCCTTCATATATGGAGAAATTCTGCTGTTCTTCTATTACCAGACTGACCGATTAGGACTTTGAGAAGATTCCTTATGTAGCTGATGCTACTTTCTTCATAGGGTATGATGCCAGACCGAGGTTTTACCTAGTCTTCTGTGCCAGAGGCATCCTGATAGGAAAAAAAAAACCCAAAAAACAAAGACAAAACAAACAAAAAATGCCTTCTAGTATTATTCTTTGTCCCTTATGTAATCTTATACTTGGATTAAAAAAAATTCCCCAAAGCCTTATCATATTCTTAAAGTTATTACGTCAAGTTTTAAAAATCAAAATATCCTGAATTTTCATTCCTCTTTGCTTCTCCATTAAAATCATTTTCCTCTTCCATGAAGTATGATTGGTTTGGTAGAGTCCCCACAGTGAAGGGAGAAGCATACCTAATTCTCATAATTATATCATAAAACTCGCCCACCCTCAACACCATCCACTGATACAGGTTAACTTCACAGCAAATCTTTCCCTAAAGGGATATCAGGGTAAAACATTTCTGTGTCTACCACAGAAAATTGATGAGAAATGCTGTGTAGTAAATAAAATATTTTAAACTGCCATCTAAATCCCCACCATTAAGAGGGAAAACATTAAAGATAACTAAGGATTAGGTGATTCTAATGAGGATATATGAACTTTTAATTTTACCTTAAAACAAGGTGGGTAAGTGCTATTGATACAATTAGCTAAGTGCCTTCATGTTTGAGTTTTGTTTCAGTAAAAGGGAAGGAAGTAAGAAGACTTTTAAGGATTAATCGGTTTCAAATAAGTTCCCAATATATGAAGGGCTGATTCTTATCCTTGGTATCAAGTATTTTTCACTGTCTTTCTGAATATGATTCAGTAAAGATCTGCTGTCTCATCATATGTGTAACTGTCATTTAGACACCAACACTTAGCAGTTTGAACCATGGAGACCTGAATTCGAGTAAATTCTTGCCTTGACATATTCTGACTGCTTTTGCTCAGATACTTTGTTTAACTTTTCACCATCTGTTTTCTCATCTCCAACACGAGCAATCATATCCATGCTATGGTGCTGTTATGAGGCTCAAATGAGGTATTATTAAGGCCCAAGAAGCAAACTTACCACTGCTAAGTATTGGCCTCCATGTGCTATGCCCAACCTTCCCCTCTAAAGAGAGTAACATTTCATTGTTTACAGTGAGTCCTGGAATCAAATTGTTTCACTTGTCAGGAAGTATAGGTGTCTACCATGCTGGGTGGGACATGATGTCATTATGCTAAAAAAAACTTCACTCATAAGCAGGGAGTAAGACCCAACTCCATGTAGTGATGTGCTGCCTGTCAGAGCTGTACCCCTTCCTGCCCCGTGCTGGAACAGACCCTTGACTCTTACTCCTGATTGCTTTCCCAAAAGGCATAGAATGAAACAATTTATACCCAACATGAATCCTAATATAGCCAGTGCTTTCTGCATGGCCTGAATTAGCACATGCTCTGCCTGGGATTTGTCCAGCACTTCTCCTTGTGATGAAGTTGAAAACAACACCATAGGACTGAGTGAGTGTGGTAAATGCAATATTAAATCGAAAACAAAAATATGATTAGTTATGGAATATTTGCCACTATTTCACTTATACCTTTATTTCTTGAGATTGGAGGACTAGGTGCTTATATTTCCTTTTTTAAAAAAATGTGCTACAGACGTTAACTTATGCAAGAGGTTTTAATTACCAATGCTTGTTGATTAGCTGAACAGTTTCTTAGAATCTATCAAACAAACCATCTCCATTTATCAAAATATGATGCAAAAGAAAGGTCTCCAAAGAGTTCTTTTTCTTTCTGTTACATTTTCAAATTTTCCATGTAAAAAATGACCAACTCCCACAGTATCTTTTTTACTATGCACAATGGGCTGTCTTCAAACATATATCCCAGGGCATATATGTTCTCCTTCTGCAAGGAATTCATATAAAGCTGTTGCGGGAAAAGTCTCATAATCTTTCAGGCAAGCTACAAACTCCCAAAGACAGATTCACGTTTTGGGGCAGAAGGTAATAAATACATTTATTCGATTAATTGCACTGACAGTTTAAGTGTGTATAATCTGAAATAGAGAATGTTGTTAAAGACAGGCTATCTTAGTAGTTTCTCGTACATAGAGTCCAAATTAATGGCGAACACAAGGTTACCCAGATAGATACAGAAGAGTAATAATAAATGGATAAGGAATCTTTCTAATGCAACATTAGCTGACTCAAATTATGAGCTAGTGACTATAATTCTTTTTTCTTTTTCTTTTTTTGAGATGGAGTCTCGCTCTGTGGCTCAAGCTGGAGTGTAGTGGCGCGATCTCCACTCACTGCAACCTCCGCCTCCGTAGTTCAAGCAATTCTCCTGCCTCAGCCTCCCAAGTAGCTGGGACCACAGGCATGAGCATTTTTATATGTTTAATAGAAACAGGGTTTTGCCATGTTGGCCAGGCTGTTCTTGAACTCCTGACCTCGGGTGATCTGCACACCCAAAGTGCTGGGGTAACAGATGTCAGCCACCACACATGGCCTAAAACACTTAACTAGAGTTTGTTTCCTTAAAGTAAAATTCCTCCCATATAGTTTAATAGATACCATTAGACTTTAGACTTTGAATTAAAAAGATAAGGTTTTAAACTTCGGTAAGGTCACAAATGATCAACACATTCTGGGAAAGTCTTCCTGAGCTTATTTTCCTAATTTATTGTTTACCCTATCATCTGGCACAGAATGTGTTTAATGTTTTTTACATCCTTTATATTACCTACTTACTACCTTAAATGCCTGGTATTATGTGACATTTTTGAAGGAAATGCCTTAAGGAGCTTACAAACAGATGTATGAGGTAATACTTAAATTTACAAAATAACCAAACTTGATTTACAAACATTAATTGTAATTAATTAATATATAATTTTCAATAAGCCAAATATTATAAAATAATAAAACCTCAAACAAAACAAAATGATGATTAAGATCTGGATAAGAATCTGGGAATCTTTCAGAGGGGAGGTTAATTAAAACAGAACTTTGTGGTGAGTGTGGGCTTTAGTTCTTTGCAGTATATATGACAGAGGAAGTTCAAAGGACTGATTGCATAAATCATGTAGCAATGAATGAGAAAATTATGAGGACATGAGTAAACTCCATCTGGCAGAAGATACTAAGAATCATGGAGAAAAGGTTGCATAAGGCTGGTAGTGATAGTTGGAAGATAATCTGGAGTACAAAGGTGAATAGTACAATTACGAATAGAAGTTCCAAAGGCTTTACACTAATACGAGTGTTTGCCCAATCCAGGATCCCTTCTCTGGGAGGACTGACCCCCTCCACCCACCCATCTACAGCGTGGAGCCATGGAAAATGTATTTATAAGACATGACTTTCAGCACCATTTCCCAATTTCTTTCTTCCTCTTACTTTTGGCAAAATATGAGAAATGAATACCTCATCTAAAATGGGCAGTCATAAGTTGGATGTCAGATCTCAACAATTCTTAAAAAAGAAGAAAAGAAAATAGAAGTTAGAAACATTCTAAACAGTTTGTTAAGCAACTAAATTGATACCACAGAAAGTCAGTACTTAGAGCTCTAGTTAGAGCCATAATCACTTGAAAAAACGAATGAATATTCTTGAGACAGAAGGTAAACTGGAGAAAGAAAGAAAGAACACAAAAGAAGACTTTTTTTAAAAAGAAGAAAAGATGAAAAATCATACTTTTCTTTAAAAACAAGAAAGTAGATTGTTTCTACCATCTGTCTGATCCCCAATCCAAGTTTTTTCTAAATATTTCTTCTGATTTCCTTTGGTTACTTTATTATCTTTGCATTCTTATACTGTATCTTTTTTCCTTTTTGTTTTACTTGAAATAAGATTTTGTTATCTAAACCAAAAAACTTTGGACTGAGATAGAAGTAACAGGAGTATGCAGACTGGATAAAAATAAGGTTGGCCAAGGAAAAGTAAAACCAATTAAAAACATTTGAGAGGGAAGAAATAAGGAAATCAGGAGGATACCTTAACTAGAAAGTAAGGGATCAGTTCAAAAAATATTATAAAGAAATATTCAGCACTAATGAGTAATCACGTATGAAACTTCATAAAAACAGACTGAAATTCACAACTGTGAATAAACAAGGCCATATTCAGTATATACTATGTAGAATACCATAATATTGAATAATTAGATTAACCAATATAGGGAAGCCAGTATGTTGTACAAGTGATTTGATTTTGCAAGAATAATAAAGAATTTATTGGAGCATTTATTAAAATGTAAACTCAGTGAAGATGGGGGGTATGTTTGTTTTATTCATTACTGTATACTGGTGGTGTAAGACTTTCTCCTTAGTTCCGCTAAAAACTGGGTTTTTGTCACACAGCCACAAAAGATCACACTTGCAGATACTTTGAAGGGTGGGAAAGGGCAGGATTTACTGAGCAAAAAGGAAAAAAAAAGGAAACAGGGACTCTAAACAAAGAAATAGTCCTGCTAATAGGCTTTCTGCCTCACAGACTGAAACCCAGATCAGGAGAGGCCAGGATCCTCCCTACTGCAAACAGCTTGAACTTCCAGAGGCTCCACCCCAGTGTGCACTCCTCCTAGTACACAAACTGGTCAGGGGTTCTCTGGGGACCCCTTTATACTTGGCTGTCTCACTGGTGCCTAGAAAAATGCATAGTGGTTTATATTGGCTCAGCAAATATTTTTAAATAATTTAAATTGTGTTTTTTACTATGATAGTGGCACATTTACAATGACACAATGAGCAGGAAAAAATTAAAATTATTTCATTCTCATTATTATATGAGCATTATGTTGGTGCTAGAAAAAATAAAATCAATGAAACATGGTAAACCTTCACAGATGACCTTGCAGTCCTGGGGAAAACAGGCAAAGATAAATGTACATTTAGGTTTATGGCCTCTTAAAACTTGAGAGTGGGAGGTTTTGGAAGAGGGTAACAGTTCTGCTTCATGGGAATTTTTGCTTTTAATACATACTCCATTACTTTGCCCTACATCATCTAAACAGGTATCAACTACACTTGTATTTTATAATTTGATATCTAATTCATAAGTCTTTGGTATGATCACATTTGTAGGATTTGGGCTCAGTACTCATTCCTCATCAAGGTGCATCATCTTCATCTGTAGAGTTGGCAATACTAAGTATTGCTGGTAATTTCCAGGAGCTCCTCTCAGAGATGTAGCTCACCTTGTGAAAGATCTAAAACATAAACAATAAGACACTGAGAAAAAGGGATGGTGGATCCAGTTCCGGTTCCAGTGAGGAGGCCATCTGTCAAGTGATAGAGTCGCAGAGGGGAGCCCATGCTGTCAGTGGGAGAATCATATTAAACAGCAAGAATAAAGGAAAAAGGTGAAAATGAAAGAGGAGAATGAACTGAGAGGATTCTAGTCATGATGATATCCTGATTACAGAAGAGTAAGTTAAAAAGATCAATTCAGACAAAAAATATTCAATGGTGAAGTCATACTTGCACTCAACATCAATGCAGTGCTATTTGTTGTGTAGACACAGCATAATGGAGTTCTGTATGGCTAAACATATGATGTCATCCATAAAAACTGACTAGGTCATTCTATAGATAGGTCTATATTCATGTATCCATAATTATTCATCAAATGCATAATATATTCAAGACATTTTTCTGAGCGCTGTGGAGAATTATCGATCTAACAAAACGCTGCCTTTGAAGTAGAAATTATCAGTTTACGGAAGAGACACACTCACATTTGTTTGAAATTTCCAGAATAAATTTCCTTTGTACTCTGAGAAGATCTTACCTAAGGCAAGTTCATCTCTATAGAATGGAGAAGCTTCTGTTCTACCATTGCCAAGGAAAATTTCAGTTAGTATGAATGAGGGCCTCAATCTCATATCTGTGCACAAGAAAGTGAACAGGAAAGAACGAAGAGGAGATCAGAAAACGGTGGGGTAGAAATTAAAATTATCATTTAAAAAACCTAAGAAAAACATGAGGGAAGAAATTACTCTGCATGTTTCCCAGCTGATTCACAGGAGATTTATGATTAGAGTTGGCCAGAGGAGGCAAAGGCATGGGCTCTGTCTTGCTCCCTCCTGGAATTAGATGATATGGATGAGCAGTTCTCCACTTCGATGGAGTCTGCATCATTTCCCCTGCTGTCCCTCTTGCTGGAAATGTCCCCCAGCTAACACAGGGCTTGCTCTGCTGTGGCTGCAAAGCTGAGCTGCTGGCAGGGGGCAGATTGCTTTCCACAGAGGAGAACAGATAGGGTTTCTTTGCTGCTATGGTAGCAACTCAGGCAGCAACTCCTTTGGAAGAGACTCCACCCTAAACCATTTAAGGCTGGGCAAAAGATTAATGCAGCAGCTTAAAGCCAAAGAAATTCCAAGCTCCTTGCTCCAGAGAAGATTAAGTCAGTGGGAAATCAAAAAAATGAGAGCCCCAAGGAACTATTCTGAAAATCAGAGGAAACTGAAAGAAAAACTTAAAATAACATCTATTTTAAAGGAAAAGAAAAACAATGGGAGGTTTAATAAATTTATATGGCCTCTTACTGGATTGTAAACATTTGAGGTGATAAGTAAATAGAAGAGGGAATGGTGTAAAGGAGGAAAAAAATTAGATGGTTTTTACAACTCTGCAGCATCTGCCAGCCCATGTTATAGTGCAGACCAGACTGGTGAACTTCTATGGGGACACCCCAGAGTGTGAAAGAGGGGAAATGGGGAAAGAATAAGACCTGAGTTTCAAGGGAAAGATAGAAATAAATAAAATCTCTAAAAGTATGCTTTTCTAGTCCCTAAATTACCATCAGCAAACACTGCAAAGGTGGATTTAAGCAAAGTATATACGCTAGAGATGCTGTTGAAGAAGGGATGAAACAGTGCTTGGCTATCTAAAGCTGAAGAGTTCTGAAGATTCTTAGCCAACCTAAAACTTGATGGTGTTCATGTCTCTGTGGCTCTGAAGTAGAACTAACCTTCAATCTCTTTATTCATTTAGACCTGGAAGGAAGACAGAGGAAGAGCCTTGCCTCTGTAATTTGGACTTACACTATTCTGTCACAATTGCTGCCTTGTTGTTTTGTGGGGGTTTTTTTTTAATCATTTTTTTTTTTCTGGCAGCTGCACAAGAATGTCCAGGAACCATACGGCAGAATGAGTTGTAATTTCTGGATCCTCCTGTATTCCAAGTTCAAGAGGCTGCTCATGAAACCTAATCAAATGTTTGAAACACCTTCCTTGTGTCTCTCACTCCTCCCCCTTGCTACCGTCTAAGGATTTAGCTCAAGGAAACCTTGGTTAACAGTCAACTGAAAGTTGACTCTGAGATGGAAAGACTGGAAAATTCCAAAGATCTGCCAATGTTAATTTGATTGACTTCAAGGTCATCACATCAACCAACATATTATCAGCATCTGCAATTTCTCTTATTTTCCTTCCTTTCTTTCTCTCTCTTTCTCTCCTTCCTTCCTTCCTTTCTCTCTCTTTCTTTCTTTCTCTTTCCCTTCCTTCCCCTTCCTCCCTCCCTCCCTCCCTTCCTTCCTTCTTTCCTTCTTTCTTTCTTTTTCGGTTCACTGCAACCTCCACCTCCCAGGTTCAAGTGGTTCTCCTACCTCAGCCTCCTGAGTACCTGAGACTACAGGCACATACCACTACACCCAGCTAATCTTTATATTTATTGTATAGATGGGGTTTCACCATGTTGGCCAGGATAGTCTCCATCTCTTGACCTTGTGATCTGCCCACCTCAGCCTCCCAAAGTGCTGAGATTATAGGCATGCACCACCGTACCCGGCTAGAATCTGCAATTTCTAGTTTTAATATCTTTAAGGCATGTCCAGCTTATAAGGTATGTGTCGGGGTGGGAAGCTGTTTTGTAAAGTGCTGTGGGAATACAAAGATGATTAAAACACAGACAGTTGCTCAACCAAGTGGGAAGAGCAGAGACTGAAATCAGAAGAGAGTTGACCTGACTCTGCTGCTACAATTATGACTGTTTTTCCTCTAAATTCCCTTGTCTTAAATGGCTCCACTAGCAGTCCAGGCAGTCCTTAGTGAAACTAGACACTAATGCATGTCTGGTTTCAAATTTGTCCTTTGACAAATTTTATCCAAATTAACATTAATTATAGCATGAGGGGCTTATACGAACAGACTTTTATTCTGTGATACTGCCCTATTCACTGACCCAACAACACAGGTTCTTAGGTCAAGGATGAAGTTGGGCAAGAGTGACCATATTCTATCTCTAAACTATAAATTTAGGGTTGGCTTGCTGACAATGCCTTTAATCTATGCATGTTGGGAGGCTGAGGCAGGAAGATTGCTTGAGCCTAGGAGTTCAAGGCTGCAGTGAGCTAAGATTGTGCCACTGTACTCCAGCCTGGATGACAGAGATAAAATCTGTCTCAAAATAATAAATATATAAATTATAAGCTTAGAATGTTAGGTTTTAGAATGTTAGTTTTAGTACTAGAATCTTCTATGCTGAAGCAAAGCTAATGGACAGCTAAGATTGAGAAGAATAAAAAATAAAATTATTGTAGAAAAAGCCAATGTACACAGAAATAAATATAGCAAATATGAAGAGAGAAGCAAAAATATGAGACAATGATTGAGAGAGGATAAAACAAAAAGCAAGAGGGAGCAGAAGGCAGGGAGAGAAGAAGAGAGAAAAGTGACTAATGACTGCCTATTTAACATGAGGCATTGTTATATTTCTTGCAAAGTATCCTATGACATTTCTCATATTCTTCTAGGGATCCTTGTTTTTAACCTTAGCTTATATATTTTTTGTCCTTTGAAACCAAATTAACATTAATTATAACAAATATTGACTAATGTGGTCTAGAACAGATCATACAATCTCAGAGTTATAACTTGGTTTACTTTTAGGACAGTGATATATTGTTTCTTAATCCGAGTCAACGATGATACCTGAGACAATGCTTGGCACTTATCTGCTCAGTACATGGTCTCTGAGTGGGAATTTCTGACCAAGCCATTAGTGATGGAGAGCATGGAGGTATCTAATCATGAAGACAGTGAAGGCTCCAGGGACTCTGGGAAAGATAAAATGACAAAGGCCATGGTGGAGAAGCAGGGTAGGAAAGAAGCTTGGTGTGGCACAGATTGGCTGGGTGAGGGGCTAAAGGTGGAAAAAAAAAAAACAAACAGTATGGTTGGTGATTTTTATGATCATGTTTAGGGATTTGAATTTCAAGTTAGTTTTAGTATCTTTAAGGTATGTCCAGTTTATAATGTATGTGTGGAGGTGAGGAGGTATAAGGTAGATTTATTGACACAAAACCCCATCTTTCACATTCATGTCAATCCAGTTGAAAGTCTGCAGTGTTTCATTCTCTACAATTTTCATTTTAAGAAGTTTTTATTTTTAAATTGATATTATATCTTCCAATGTATTTTTAAATATTATCATAAATTAAGGTAAGTCTAGTGAATTCTCCTGCCCCAGAATCCTTCTCCTTATTTAAGGACGAGCAGCATATTTGGAATGTTATTCTTGTGGATAGTATTTACCCTACTCACTGCCAAAAGCAAGATGATTCTGAGATTTGTTGTAGAACACTGTACTGCATATGTGTCATGTACAGTGCCTGGCATGTAACAAGGGTTCAATAAATACTTACTGAAAAAGTTAATCAATAACATTACTTTTTAGTTTAGATAATTAATATGTTTCATTTGTTCTATCATTCCAGGCATTCTGATTCTAAACAGAGAAATGAGGAAAAGGAGTAAGGGGAAAAGAATGAAAAACAATTTTTATGTTTTTTAAAGAGAAAGCTGGAAAGCATTCCAGTTATAGAAACACACTGTTATTTGCATACAATTAATATGTCCCTAATTTTTAATCTTCACCATCTTATGATCTACAGCTCTGTCCATGACCTTTTGATATTGAGGATGCTGACCCTAATTCAAGGAATATCATCACTTCACTGAAGCTTAGGAGAGAAAAACAGATGACAAATTAGAAGACAAGCTAAAATCTTTATTCTAATTAAAACAATGATATATGGTCACTGTAGATAAAGCAGGAAGTCCAGATATAAACAGATACATATTTAACTGATTAATTAATAAATGAAGAAAATTAGGGCAAGAATACAGTATATTTTATATTGGCACTATGATGGTAACACAGTTGGTAAAAAGAAAAAATAAATGAAAATTTGCAAATAGTATGGATGGACACTACCCGGGCCACTAATTTTGCCACCCTAGGATCCATTACGGTTTATTATTGTATTTAATTAAGTAGGGGTGCTGACAGGATGTACATACCTTGATCATGACTATTGTTTAAACTAGTAAAGGTTTTGATTGGTTCTGTCATCATCTATTCCTTGGGGCTTCTCACTCACCATCCCCACCAAAACTGAAACTGATTAGAAACTCTTGTCTTTCCTGAAGTCTCCTTTAATTTTATTTTTCAGGATAAACATGAGCCAATTTCTGTTCAGTGTTTAAACTGGAAACACTGAGAAAAATAAGTAAGTTGTGAAAATACATAAGATGACCAAAATAACATTCATGGAAAAAGTTTAAAACTCACGAAGTGAATATGATAGTAATCCTTGGTGTTTCCAATAGATTTGACTCCTGAATACCTTATAATATAAAATAGAAGTCTGTGTGGGCTATTACTCTTCATTATTTTTTTCTAAAACTAAGTATAGCAGTTCCCTCCTTTGGATACTGTCCTAGTAAAGGCATTCCCTAAAGTAGGTTTCAAAGCACACTGGGTGTTTTCACACACATAAAAAGAGAAAGGGATAAATTGATCTCTCTGTAATTACACCAGGCTGGTCTATTGACACACAAGTGAATGAAATGTTTATACCCTGAGAGGGAGCCCCTCCATCACTCTCAAAATTACAGGCCCTCAGATCACCATTGAATGCCTAGCCCTAGAAAATTTGCAGAGATGGACAAAGAATAAGGGAACAAGAACATAGCATGCAGCAGTAAATACCTGTATTTATAGCATTGTGTCATAATAGAAACATCAATCCTGTTTTCTAAGGAAACTGCTGAAAATCCTAACCATAATAT